GAGGCCTACTCGTTTTATACAATTGTTCGGAGTTTTGTTTGGAAATGATGCTGCAGACAGCGCGCTCGTAAGATGTCGAGACCTTTTTTTGATGACAAAACAATACTGAATTGGGACATAAAAGGTAAACAGCGATCATAGCTTCATCTCCCTGCAAGCATATTCGCACTGGGAAGCGAAGAAAAGCTAGAGTGGTCACTCCATAATTTTTCTTCCCTTGTTTCATTTACAAACTATCTTTAATGTGTATTTGGCTACCTTTTCAGTGTGATCGTTATGCAAAAATCAGAGTATGGTAGGAAAGTGTAAAAAACGTTAAGCATCGAGAAGTGTTTTTCGGCAACGCGAGTGGAATTTTGATGATACTTAAGGCCAATTCATTCTCAAGAATAAATTTACCGCAAGTGACCGGTTCGGTGTCATCGTGAAGAACGATCTTAAAGGCACCGTCCACCCAAAATGGGGTCGATGAGATTTTGACGCTTAACAGTGGTGGGGCCCCCAACTGTATACTTAACCAACTCGAGCTGGCATAAGTTGCTTTCGATGCGAGAAAATTGCTTCGAAAATCGCTCGATAACAAATTCGCATCTTGGCTCCTTCAATTTGAGTGGGCGTGACATTCGTCCCGCCCATCCGTGCGCGCCCAACCAATGACCGTTTCAAAGAAACCGCTCTGCGGGTTCTAAAAACGGGGAATTTTCGTGGTTTTCGCGGATTTCCGATTCGATATTCGGAATAAGGGGTATGAGAAGGCCCTGGAACAGCAAAAACATGGAGGTCGAAATTTTGGGTGGACGATGCCTTTAAGTGAAGGTGGCGAACTGAATGAAAAGCACATTATTTATTGCGTCTTGGAGAGCTGCTTCAAGAACTACCTCCCAAACTTTTTAAGTAGTTCGTTGGAAAATATAAGCGTTCAAAAGCGAGTTTGGCAAACAGTTGGCGTCACGCTTTCACGAACTGGCTTTTAAAGACTTATTTGTGTTTCCGGTAAATATAATCATTCCTAGAAATCAGTACACTTAATAGCATGCTAGTCATTTATCCAAGTTAGGTTCTAAAGCACGCTATGCATAAAGACCCCCAACGACTTCAAGCTTTTGATCACTCAAAACATTTTTGAAGAGCCGCATTGCAAGTACGGAGATAGATTTGTAGTTAGCTCATCAAAACTTCTAACAATATGCGTTTCATTTTAATCGTCACATCAACTTTGAAGATAAATTGAAACCTAATGATAAACTCTTCTATAAATCTGCTCCATACTTTGACACCGTTCTTATGATTAAGAAAGGAATCATTACTTGACGAATAATATATTAAGCATTCAACATAAATACAAACCCGGATAATAAAGACGATGTTTTGCCTGTCTACATTATTTTCTCACATTGAAATTGCAAGTTCTTCTAATTTCGCAACAACTGTAGTGCACGTCCAAGTCTTTACTTTTACGCAAGGGTTTTATGTGAGGTGGCATGCCATGGATTACGACTTTTCACTTTAGCGCATCTCTTCATTAGTACCCGATCTTCAACTTGGTTGATGTTCAACTCCTATATCAAAATTTAGCTTTAAAAGCAACAACGTTGGTCTGAATGGCGAGCCTGAATGAAACGGATCTGAAATGAGAGTTAAGCCTGCTCATCTGATGGTGAGACACTTTCAGAAAAACCGGTATCTGACTTCGACCGAGGGCTAAAACTTTGGAATTTGAAAATGTATCTGGATAATTTGAAGAGAAGAAATTAGAATTTTGAACCAAATGATACATCAAGTACATCATGTACAATACTGCTCACAGAATGTGCAAAATTTCCGTGAATGTCGCGAAATTCCAGGAATTTCGCGGAATTTTTGGAATTTCGCAATATTCACGGAAATTTTGCATATTCTGTGAGCGGTATTGTACAGTAATATCATAAGTGGGCGGGGCTTACAGTTCACAGCTAAAAAGCGAAAAATCGATATTTTGGATTTTAGTGAGCCACCAAATCCTCAAAAATTGATAGAATCGGTATTCGAAGGGCTATGAAATCCCGAAAATCGACAAAAATCGATAAAATCGATATTTTGGGGGTTCCGAAATTTCGGAAATCGGTAAAATTATCGAAAAACTAAGCGAAAAATTCGAAAAACTCCATAATAAGCTTATTTCCAGTGCTTTTATACAGCTAAAACTCTCCAAACAAGCTCCGCCCACTTTATACCCCACATCACGATCGAAATTGAAGAAAATAAGAAAAATTAAGGAAAATAAGGGAATAAGCGAAAATCGCGTTTTTCTAGCCCGATTTACCCCCCCCCCCCTTCTAGCCGTTTTCAGCCCCCTAACCAGGTCCAGATGGCCGCGGGTAACTATCAAACGCTCTGCAGAAATAAAGAGAGGGGAAGAATGAGGGGAGAGAAAAGCGAGAAATTGCGAGACCCTGAACTAAAAAAAGTCCGGGAAGGTTTATAGATGGGCTCCCAGAAGCGGATCCCCTGCATTTTTTCCGAATTATATGTGGGGAATTCCCCCTCAAATTCAAAGTGAAAATGGCTATCCCAGCCTGTTATCCCTACTCTCCACTGAGATAAAAATTAAAATATGCATTATCGCCATTATATAACGCCTCCTACGGTGGAGCTACAGCCATGATCTACACCTAGAAAAATAGAGCTATCAAAAGTACATATCAATGACCACATGCGATTACCCCAACCCTACAACTTGCAGAGATATAAGGGCGCAAACTCGCTTTTATTGACAGATTTCCCAAGTTCAGCTGTCAATTAGGCACTTTTATTGGAAACTTGTTATTCTACGACCTTCTCTCTAAAAATCATATATTTAGAGATCTGTCCAATAAAACAACTCCAGCCTCATATCTGTAATATTCGCAGAGTTATTAGCCCCCAACATGCATGCTCAGGCCGTAAAATCGGCTTTCCCAAAGTTGCTCCGTAATTCTCCCAAAAATCATGTTAGACACCTCTCTCATACCTATACACTCCATATTTTTTCCAGCTTCTTTGAAGCAATACACACTGATATAGCGCGCTCTTGGCCTCTCGCTCCTCACTCTTGGCCTCGGCGCAAGATTTGGTTAAAATATTGAGGTTCTCGGATTGACCGCAAACTTCACTCATAGTGGTTTTTGGTCCCGATCTCTACGAAAATCCTATTTATTTTGCACTAGAGAGTCTTACAGTAAAGCTAAAGTGAGATAGAAGTAGCTAAACCAATCAAGATCGCAACTTCGCCTGCACTTTTCGCCCACCTGTTGCGAAAATTGTCCGCAAATTTTTGTGAATTCAAAACTTTGTGAACACCTCTATCGGACCATGCTTAGCACAGATCTTTATTTGAATTATTCGTCAGATTATGATGTTACAAAATCGCCTTCTCATGAATTGTCAAATTCGAAAGTCGTGTTGGCAGATATTCTATCATACAATGTGTCACCAGCAGCAAAACAATATAAGAAATGTTGTTAGCATGTCGAGTACAATACTGCTCACAGAATGTGCAAAATTTCCGTGAATGTCGCGAAATTCCGAAAATTCCGCGAACTTTCCAGGAATTTCGCGAAATTTTCGGAATTTCGCAATATTCACGAGAATTTTGCCTATTTTGTGAGCATATTGTATATGTAAAAACCTATAGCAAATCTGAGAAAAAAAAGTGAACTATGCAAAACAACAAATGGAGAGTAGATGTGCGGAATCTAACATACTTATTTTTGTTTTTTAAATTAAGCTTTATTTTTTCTTTTAACTCTTCCTTTCTTCACCGCCTTCTTCTCCTTTCTTTTAACTATGCTTTCTGTCTTCCTCTCATTCTCCTTCTCCCTAATGTGCTCCATTTCCTTTTCCTTCGCTCTCTTCGCCTCTTCCTTCAGCTTTTCTTTAGCTCTCGCCCTCGCTTCTTCTTTCAGCTTCTCCTTCTCTTCAGCCTTCGCCTTTGTCCTCTCCTCCAATTCTTTCTTAGCTTTCGCCTTATCCTCCATTTTCTTCTTCAGCTTTTCCTTTTCAGTCATTTCTTGACTTTCTTTCTGCATCTTCTTATCCTGTTGTTTCGCCTTCTCTTTTGTTTTCTCCGTCGCTTTTCCTGTCAAGTTTCTGCGTACTTCAAGTTTCCCTTTCAGTAGACAGCAGGTAAAGACACCGACCGCAAAAGTTTTTTTGTTGTAGTATTCGAAAAACCCGCATCCAACGTTATTGATACTCTGAAATTCTTACTGTAATCTATTAGTTGCCACATTTTGCTTTTTTTAGGATACTTGAGTGAACAGGAAATAGTAAACCAGTTTTGTTCATTTTCAAATTTTGCATTTGGAGAGTGCACACTGTGAAAATGCGAAGTTTGAAGAATTTAGCATGCTCCGTTTCGCGTTGCAGCGTTGCCTTAATGTGGACTCACGGTAGACGTAATTGTTAGAATCATGCATATTTGCACAGATGAAGCTTAGTGTTTGACTGTACGTATTTGTATGTGTTTGTGTGTGTTGTGTGTGTGTTTGTGTATATGTGTATCTGTGTGTCCGTGGTCTCTGTCTGCGTCTGCCTTTTCTGAATTAATTCCCAAACTTTGCACACATACACCGGGGGTGGAAAGTCAAACTTTTCTCATCAATCGATATGATTTTTTCGATTTTGCAAGATTTGGCACAGGGGAGGGGGATAGGAGAGCAGGCTGATAACAAATATTCTATTTTTATTGAGATCCGGGCGGAGACGTGTTTGCCAGCTAGTCATTGATAAGTCATTACTGCAACCAGCATATATGATACGTAAAACAGTAAGATCGCTCCCGTGCATTGTCACAACCTGAATGTGGCCTCTCACTTAATGCACAACATATAGACAGCATATTGTGTACAACTTCGTAATGTTAGCATTTTTGCGTGCGCAAGAGTCGGCGTAACTAGCTCAACATGGCTATTTCCTCGACCGCAACATTTAGCGCAAAATCTCGGCGCCGCAGGCAGACTATATGCACGATAAATCAAATCTCACTTTACCTTCAAGACCTCCAAGATCTCAGGATGTTCTTTCCAGTCTTCTGTGGCACTTCGCACGATTGCAACGCGTTCGCTGGGTTTGCTAAACATTTAAGGATTGATTGTATCCAAATTGAGGCTTTACAACAAGTATAAGAAAGCATTGAAGGAGAACGCACCGATAGGGAAAGGTAACAAATCTTTTACTTGATGGCCAATCATGGATATCTCCTGCAACGTATTTGATTGCTTCACGTTCCAAAGCGACAGCGTACTAAATGACATATTTGGATGACACAACAGTGAGAAAGTTCAACTTTATTTGATGTCATAGTGTTGACTAGAGTTCACTGGGTGTTGAACGAATTGTAAAGCACACTACTCTATTGAGTTTATCATCGTCAAGCTGCCATACAAACCTTAGGCGTTGTCCGAGATATAAAATAATCGAAGTCAGTCCATATTTTATTGGAAACAACAGTCAAAAAGTCAAGAACTACTTGTCTTTCTTTCTTTCCGAGAGTTGTTGTGTTGTGTGTCCACAAGGATCTAGCAGCTCCCGAAGAGGTAAAACATGATACAAACTGCAAATACTTTCCTCTTTTTGCAGAGATGAGGCAGATAAATCACTTACTGCAACGAGTGCACAGCATCTGAACATTTGAATGCAGTCCCTTTGAATTGAAATACTTGCTTTGAAATGCTTTTTTACTGGATTAGTTGTGTTCGGATTTTCTGTACTAAAGTAACTTCGTCAAAAGCATATAGCTTATCGACTAGTTATCAGAGAACTCTGGAAAAGTCTAAATTTAGCCTTTTTCTCTCTAGTTGGACATTTGTAGACACAGTGAATCACATCAAAATTTGCAATATTTGATCTCACAGGAGGCTGTCAAATCCCAGGACATTGTGCCTTTAGGATGCGTAGATTAGTACATAAATAAGCGCGTGCAACAGTATGGATAGTATAGGCGACGATTTTAGGCACACCTGCTAAGTTCCGCTACGAACTAGCCCAAAGCCCTAACCAACTTGATCAAAAAGCTACAAGTCATGAATTCACGTTTTCATAATCTTGGCTATTTAATAACAGAGGGCGGATTTTCCTCCGATTGCGCAAGGTCAAACCTGTATTTTCAAAACAAGTAATAATCGTTTTACCCCTCAACACACTCCGTTGGGTTGGCTTGTACCTTTACCGGCGAAACTTGGTAGACAAGGGGTACCTGGCTGAAGACATTGATTGCTCTCGCTGTCCACCTCCCGTCGAAGAAAATGCGTAATGAATTAAGACCTTCAAAGCGAAAGTTTTCAGAATTGCTTGACGACAATATTAATTTGCGTGCTTTAAAGGTAATGTGGAGCACGCTGTGATGAATACCACAGGAGGGAGAGACTGTCAAATAAGGCCAAAAGTTTTGCAACATTTCGAAAGACTTTCTGCTTTCATTTCAATATTACGGCTTTGCACCTATGGCGTATTCAACGCTTTCCTCTGTGACATAGTACTGGAGCGGCGCCCACTTTACCGGACTCTGCCTTCAACCGTTTTCTGATTTCTTATTCATTTTTATTCGAGGTGAGTACATGTTCCAAAAGTTTTTAGCTATGTATTTAACCATGTAAATTCTAAGCGACGCAACATAGAAACTCGAAATGTATTAAAAAACTTATTCACGCTAGTAGAAGAGTACCGTAAACATAGTTTGGAATATCCCTTACTAGCTTTTACACAGTCCCACAGACCCGTGGCAGACAAGCAGTTGACTCCGAGAATGTCTTAGGCATTCTGATGTGTGCGCCAACAAGATTTTGCTGTAAAGAAATGCAGACCCATTTTTTCGAATCAATTGGAAAAGTTAAGAGGTTAGATCCGGCGAAAACTATCACTATGATACACTTATCGGACCTACAAGAGAATCTCCTTACAAGGGAGAGTCAGAAATCGAAGTGGCCAATCCAAACAAATTGCATATCATTGGATGCGGACGCTCACTTCGAATCTGTTATCCCTATCTGTTTAGCGCCTATGTGGTCGAAGTTATGAGCTGTTAAATGCCGTTATTTTGCTGAGAATTGTAAATGAAAAGCGCAAATTCGGGCATAGAACCATGTTCGGCTTAATGCTGGGCCAAAACAAACCGTAAGATTGCTTTGAATTCTTAGGGCCTAAAGGTGAGCTGAAAGTGCAACAATTTGCCGCATTTCGCAAATTTTATGTACATTTTTTCGCAACAAACTGCTTACAACCTCGTCCACAAAGGCGCTAAGCAGATGTAAATTATAAATCCAAAGTCAGCGTTGAATGCTGAATCGAAAAATAGGTAGCTTGCTTGGATTTACCTTGACCTCTGACCGCTCCCGTGTTAGTGGAGGTGACCATTCGAGGTGCTATGTCTGTTGCTAAAATTGATGATGCGTGCCTATCTTAAAAGTGCAATCTTTATCTGCGAAACGCTTTTCTAAAAAGAGTGGTCGCATCAGAAACAAAAGTTGCAAAACGCTGATCATGAAGAAATTCTAGCATGCCTTTTTGCAATAGCTAACCGCACTTGCGCACTATTTTACCATGACAGCATGTACTGCAATGCCCGGATAATGAGTGTGTTGAGGAAACTTGAAAATGAAATAGCAAACAACAAAAACATACATGGATGCTTAGACCTGTTCATTATTTACAAAAAATATTAACATCTGAACCTTTCCATAAAACTCTCAGTTTTCCACCAAAGAAGATTTGTCCACTGTACTTCCAATTTACCTAGCAACCAGTCCCAAAGCGCCTCTTAGTGTCCTCCATACGCACCGGCAGCCGCCGCTAGCAGCTCGTAACCGCCGCTGGCCGCTTTTGTTCATGGAAGCGCGAAATCATCAGATTCTTACTACTCTGGTGCATCCGCCTATGCTTTCCATCCCATGCTTTATTGCAGTTAATGTGCAGTTTGACTCCTACACAATACAGAGATGTTCGAGATAAAGCGATAGCCAAGGAAAGATTGAAGCAGAACCACACTCAAACGATAAACGATGCACACCTACATGTACTGCACGCATCCAAAGAGAGAAATCACACCGCGAAAGACTGCGGCGAACTATGACTTAACTGCAAGAGGAAAATTGAGCACAATAGGATGACTAGTCTACGTCAAGAAAATAATAACACTGGACACAGGTATGATTTATGAGATGGAACTGCATATTAGCGGCAATAGGAAAAAAAGCGTGAGAGATGAGAAGCTTAGACGGATGTACTCAGAGCAATAAGAATCTGATAAGTTTTTGCTCCTAACAAAAGCGGCCAGCGGCGGCTATGGGCTGCTAGCAGCGGCTGCCGGAGCGGTATGAAACCTTCAGCTGCGCTTTGGACTGGCAGTGTGTGTGAAATGTGGGTGTGTTTAGATGTTCAAACTTTTGAATGCAAACGTCCAATAACGCACCTTTTCCTAGCCAAAACTATGATATTGATCTTTCAGCCACGGCATATGCGAACGAAAGTAACCCTAGCTTAACGCATTGACGATCAAGGCGTTTCATGGACCAGTCAACATACTCTAGATAAAATCACGCCAATTCTACTTGCAGTACATCTACAGTAACTTTGGAATGCTGGCAAAACCTAGAGGTTGTGTTTAGATCCATCATTAAAACACCCGGGGGGGGGGGGGTGACACAAAATAGTCATTTCAATGACACATAAGGTGTGAAAGGCACCGTCCACCCAAATTGGGGTTGGTGAGATTATGATACCCAGCAGATGCGTGGCCCCAACTGTATGACTGCCCAACTCGCGCTGCCTGAATTGCTTTTGAAACGAGAAAATTGCTTCGGAAATCCCTTCAGGCCGCGTTCGCGACGCTGGCTCCTCCCCTTTCGGAGTGGGCGTGACGTGCGTCCCGCCCATCCGTGCGCGCCCAATCAATCACCGTAGCGAAGAAATCGGTCTGCGGTTCTTTTTCGTGGTTTTCGCGGATTTCCGATTTTATACTCGGAATCAGGGGTATGAGAAGGCTGGAACAGCAAAAACATGGAGGTCGAAATTTTGGGTGGACGGTGCCTTTAGGCTTTGACACATCATGTGTGTCAAGCGGTCGTCAATGTGTTAATGTCTGTATTTTACAGCGCAGAGTCTAGTATAAGTGGTTCATCCTAGACTGTAATCAACTGACATCGTGTGTTTAACATTTTTCGTTTTTGACTACTGCCCGAGGTGCTGGTGCGCGAAAACTTTGTCTGGCGTGTGTGTTGACAGTGCTGCTGCAGCACCGTGTCGCGATAAGCGTTTTTCAGTGAGCGTACCGTCCTTGGCGCAGTGTTAAAACGAAAAAAAATTGACTGCTGCAGTTGCTTAATTCCAAGCGTAGTAGTTCTCTTCTCAACTACAAACCTTGAGGTGACTTAAACTCCCCATGGCCAAAATGATCTTGAAATGCCCATTTTGACCACGGAGAGGGAATTCTTTTTTCTCTTGCCTTCCCTCCTTTATCTACTCTGCCACCTTCTTTTTCTATGTTGTTTATCGCTTCGACTATCTTCCTTTCTATCTTTAGTCTTTATTGGTGTCTGGTTGTTTCTCTTATCTGATTAAGTTTTCCTCCTCCTCCCTGAGTCAATATGGCCAGAATTGGACATGTATCAAAGTCGCGGTCACTAGCTCGGATCGCCCATTTCAAAGGATTCTAGTTGATGGCAAGCAAACGGCCGTGTTGGATGTCAACGAGATGTTATAGAGAGCTTGGTCGGTGCGTTAGGGAGAGGATAACAATCGGTCACTAATGATAAGCTGTTGTCCCTCCTATGTGATAATCTTCCTGCTTTGACGTCATCTGATCCTACAGCTGAAGAGAGGTCGAGGAGCGTGGTCCTCAGGAGGGTAGCTGAAACTGAAGGGGAAGTCAGCTATCTAGAAAGGCAGCGCGATCTTGAACATAAGGTGGATAACATTTTAGATGTTTTCAATAAAGTGCCGCCCGGTAAAGGTTTACCGAATGAATAGTCCAGATCCAGCAAAGCCTAGGATGGTCAAAATTGTCCTATCGTTACGGTATACCGCGACAATGTGGTGTACACTATGAGCTTCCCCGTCGTTATGTAACGCATTGTGCGCGGCACTACATCGAAGGCCTGTTTACTTGACGCACGCATTTTACGCAACAAGGTACATCTATCGCAGTTTTATCTGCCAATACAAGCTTGGCATCATTTTCATTACAGGAGCTTGGCTAAATTCTCATATTCTACACTCTGAAGTAATAAGCAGGTTGCCATATACGATCTATTGAGTTCTAATCGGCGGGGTCGTAAAGATGGTGGTGTTTGCTGTATCATAAAAAGCCACGTCCCTCCAACATCCGTCGATACGAACGTTGGGTTCAAAATTAAGATTTTAATTCTTTGCTGCTGCCGATGCTCAAAATTAAGATTTCTCACCCAGTAGAGGTTATCAAATGCAATTTGTGACGGTATATTGCCCGCCGATCTCAAATAGGGGTGATGATGATGAATTAACAGATTTGCAAATTGACAGGAAACCATGAAGTCTCTTAATGCTGCCCTGGCCTTTCCTTGATAATTTGAATAATTGTGGCCTGAAACAATATGTTACTTTCTTCCCTACCCATGGGAACACTCTTGAAGTGGTACTTTCATCTCCTTGGCTGCCCT